TTCCTTGTCTTTGTTGCTGAAAACATTCTTGTATTTGTTGACTTACAGTATTTATGTGATATGTCTTACTTTTCACATATAGTTTTTTACTGAGGAATTACAGCTTCTTAAAATATCCTACCTTGAACGCTTTATAGAAACTTGTAATAAACCACTATTTTATCCTATAAGGTGTTGTGCTATACTGGAAATTTTTTGTCTTGATAGGATATTTATTTAATTTAATGAAATTAGGATGAGAAAAGAGAAAGCAATTCTAAAATAAATAGAGAATAATTTACTAATTAAAGTGATGGAAATTTGCTAATTAACATAACTTTATTTTACTTCTTTTTTTTTTTTTTTAATCATCACTTTAATTATCAAATTAAAGTGATGACTGGACCCTACAATCCTATAATGAGGAGATATTAATATCCTCAACTTCTTATTTATGATCAGGGACCTGAGTAGGAACATACTTAGATTATACTAATCTACTAATCTAAGGTGCTGGGTGAAGAATTATGCAAGAGTGTAACACAGTTGTGAGAAGGGAATTTTACATTTCATGGTACTGAAAAGTTTTAGTTCTATTGTCCACTTCCTCCATACAAATATGCTCTTTGGTGGTATAACCAGTTCTTGAAGCCTTAAACTGGAAAAAGCTAAGTATCTGCTCAGCTTTAGGCCTCCAGCTATTCTTTGGACTTCATCATGTCTCTTATTTCAAAAATAAGTAAGAAGCAGCAATTTTTCTGCCAGTGAATCCCTGTTAAATTTTAAAGATTAGCAGTTTGAACAGTCAGACATCCATTCTGTTCTCCAGAGCAGAGTCGTTACAATCTGACTTGGCATTTTTGGGCTCTGGTGTCTTGGCCTATATTTGTCACCTTAAAAAGCAGTGCCTCCACATAGTAAGAAGTACTGTGTTAAAATAGAGCTTTTTGAGAGGAAAAATTAGACTGCCTGACCACTGTCAGTATCCTTAGTTTAAGAAGTTTAAAACCCCTTATTTTTAAGGAAAATGCAATGTGCATTGCAGTATGGGTTGATAGAGAATAATTCTAAATTTCAGGTCCTTAGTGAAATTTTTCCTGAATATCTCACTTGCTAAATGTAAATCCAACTGAAAATTCCCCATCAAGTGTGCCTTGGTGTGGCATGTGTTATTCCTTGGATTTGGTCAAAGGAAAAGTTACCTTAGCTCAAGAGGACTATAGTTTTTACATATATTTATATATAAACCTAAGTGACAAATAAATGAAAAATACAATTTTAAGACTGCATGAATTCTCTTGTTTCAGACTGCCAGATACTAAAAATTGAAAGTATGCTTCCACAAACTCAGTTTTCATCTGTAAATCTCTAAAGTCCCTAAAGCGTATGACTCTCAGTTTAAGTTGTACTGGTCAATGAAAGATGGCAGAAGCATTAAAGAAGATGGAACCATAACAATAAGGGAACTGCTAGGAACTTCAACATTCTCCAGAGAAAATTATTAACTAAAATTATTAACCAATATATTTAATATCTTTACCCAGCAGAATTCTACAGGAGAATTGATAAAAATCCTTGGTGTCTTTGGATGTTTTAATGCATCCTTTGTTTTGGTCTCATCATGATACACACAAATGACAGTATAAGTATGACTCATGCTATGTTAATTCTTTACTAATTTTAGTATACTATTTAAAGGTATTTTACTCTATAAAAAAGAGTGAATTAAGTAGTCTTCATAGAAGGAACAGGGTTTGAAAAAGAAAAATGCTATTGGTGAATTCAGTTTTCAGTTCAGAAAACTTGGACTTACAGATGAGACTCAACCTTCAGCAAAGACATTGACACCATTCTTCAGTTTCCAGGAAGAGATCTGCAAGAGCAGATTCTGAAACCCTGTAATATTTACTATCTGTTTTAATGATCCAAAAACCTGTGCTGAATCAGAGGTAGAAATGTTAAAGTAATTATCCTTGAAAGTCAATTTAATTAATGCCCAATATGTGAAAGCATTACTTATGTAATCTTTTCTGTTGCCAAATTTATAATTTTTATTTTTCATTTACCTATGTTATATAGTTCTGGTATGCATTATATTCTCTAATATTTGTTTTTCTCCAATATGACTTGTTAGATAGCTATTGAAAAGATCCTATTTAAAGACAGACCTTTGTACTCAAGAAAACTTTGAAATATAACTAAATGTAAATCCATTCCTGTCTCAGGATTTTTGGAAATATTCCTGTGCTTCTTACTAGAATTAGCAGAAATATTTGTTTGAATGAGTCACTTTTTAGGTTTCTATTTGTTTTGAAAGCATGACAATATTACTGATTTTTTGACTTCCACTATCCATTCTCATGTCTTCACTGTGAAAAAATTATCTGCATGCATAAATTTGTTCACACCAGTAATTTCTCAGCTACTTAGCTGAAACACAACCTGAGATGTGTGATAATGCACACAAAAAAAGATTGCTGATGACATCTAGTTCTAGTGCATATGTTCATATGATACAAACACAGTACTTTCTTCTGAATTCAGGCATAAACCAGTTTAGCTGATGGACTAAATAAGTCTCATTAGAACTACAGCAAAGAAATCCCATCTCTTAGTGTGATATGATTCAGAAACTACATTTGGAAGAAGATTACTGAAAGAGCTTGTAGGAATTTTTGGGGATGACTCAGTTTACATTTTTCTGGGATAATGTTCTCTCTAAGATAGGAAAAAAAAAAAGCACCTTCCATGGAAACCTTGAATTAAGATAATACAGATTATGATACACATTGTGGTAAAGCAGAACATACTTCCTCATATTTAAGGAAAGTGTTGCTAAGTTTTAAGGGTTTAACCAGGTACTTGGTCTAAAACAAATTGATGAATAAGAAGTAGGCAGACAAGGTGCAACTTTTAAGAGAGTGCTGGAAAATTAAATGAAGTGAAATAGAATACTACTTGAACAACAGCCAGGACAAAAGGAGTGGGGGAAAAAAAGTGAAGATGACAAATATTTTGATATCCAGAGGGTTCCTTTGCCCTCATGGAGTGACTGAAGCACAGCCATACACTGGCTTTAAAGCCAGTATAGAGGCCTTATGGTATCTGGTTTAGCCTCAACTTTCCAGAAGGGAATCAGGTCATACTTATAACTATTCCATATCCCACTGGTGCAAATCTCTGCAGGAGAGCTCTCCACATCCACAAAGACAGAAGAAAGACTAGTCTGTGCCCAGAGAATTAGGGCCTATCAGGCACATTCTTAGGGGAAGAGTGATCAGATCTTACTCCTATAGGCTCATATTGGCAATTTTAAGGTGTGGTTGAGAGTACCAATAGTGACTGAGGGTTCTGAGGAGGAAGGATTAAATACAATGAAGAGCATACAAGGAACAGTTTTGTATGGGTTTGCATAGTTGCTGGCTTTGGCATTTTTTGGAAACATGTAGTAATTTGAATCCAAACCCAGGACAGCATTATCTTTAAAAAAGGACATCATGGTGAGCGAAACACCATTTTCTAAACCAACTAATTTTGGTGTAGAAAAACCACCAACATCAACTTCTTCATACTGTAGCTATGACAAGGCTCAAGCCCTGTTTATCTCCCACAGATGTGTGGTACCCTCAAGTAACCTGCATGAAAAAGAAATTAAAATATTGATCTTTCCAGCAAATATTTTACCAGAAGCAAAAATTTGCAATCCAAAAATTTGAAGGATTCATTCACATGCACCTAGAAGAAATATGGTTTATCAGGAATTGGTTTACACTTCTGGAGGAGCCTTTAATAATTAAAGAAATACCATTTGAATTGAAACATATGATAATCACATTATTATATTTTTTGACGCATAGTGCTAATAAAAATAAAAATATATTTAGATCTTAGGCTGTCCTTTATTGTATCAAATTAAATCAGATTTAATGCCTAGTTGTGTGTCATGCATATCAGATCCATTTGTACAAGGCTGTACAGTGTGGAGCCAGTTCAAATGAATGAATAGCCTTCTCATTACTTCACCTTATTCTACTGTCTCTTTTCCTGTCTTTTTTAATATAATGGAGGACAGGTATGGCAGTGAAGTGAATATTAACTAACCTCAGTGCCTCAGCAGATTGTGACTTAATCCCTGCAAACACCACTAAAATCAAAATTTAATTACTGTCAGCACAGCTCTGTTAATGCCTGAAAAATATTTAACAATTAGTGGTTGGCTTAATTAAGCAAACTGCCTTTCACAAAGCAACCTGAAAAGTTTTTTCCTGTATTTTATCCCTCAGACTCATTAGTCTGATGTAAACTTACAGAACTTCATTTACTGTTACTGAGTCTGTTACACTACTCATCCAGTTTCTGCAGCTTAACAGTCTTTAATGGAGGAGAAATTGTTAAAAGAAAAAAATAAAGATTCATTGAGCAATGCTACTCCTTAAAAATAAAAAAAACCCTTTTTTAGTAAAACACTTCATTAGTTATTTGCTCACATGAATTTAAGTATATAAAGTTGTCTTAGCTATGATTATATTATTTACACTGGTTTAGTATGTGCTGAGTAACATGTAAACTAAGGTACAGTCATGTCTGTCAGGGGATAACATGTTGTACCTCTGTAAAAAGAGAATTGTATCTAAGCCTAGTGAAAAGGCTTGGCCTTGGGTAGCCAAGGTATAGATTCAGGTATTTGTTTTGAAAATCTCTGATAAAAAACGAGAACTACAAACTAAAAGGTGATTCACAGCTGACTTTTACAATTAAGTCTTGTTATTTCAATTAACTTGATGTAGCTTTGATCTTGCTTGTTTGTGCTGTTATGATACAAGATCCATTGCTCTTGCTTCTGTGATTTTACTAAAGTTGCATTTCTGAAAACTTATGTTTACAGACAGGCTCTACTCGCTGTCTGAAAATGGAACCATTGCAAGAAATTCCTGTAAAATGTGGTTTGGATTATAATATTTTCATCTGGTGTCCTAGAAAAAAGTACTGTTTCACAGTTGAATGAGCAAGATACACCACTTCAATATTTGAAATATTTATTTGATGACACTTTTCTCCATACAGTAGTGGCCAGCATAGAGTCATTTAACAGGGTGGCAGATGTTTGTCTGGGGACATTTAAGTACAAGCATGTTACAGTTTTCAAGGTAAACTCTTACAGTTCTTTAATTCAAAAACTAAGAGGTACAAAATCAATCCATACTTTTATGAAGTGTATAAATATGTTTTGGGGGAGTGAGTAAAATCAACTTAACTAGAAAGGGTGAATTCCTTAACTAAGGACTATTGTCTACACAGAGAAGAAATTTTAAAATATTTTATATCCTTAAAAATTTACAATTAATACAACCCCAGGCAACAGCTAAAAATTCATAACATTGGCTTGAGTCTACTGCAAAACCTTTTGAAAAAAGTTTGTCATACACCTAAGTATATCACTCTCAAATTATTTAGAATTGTAGGGACTGTAGGTTTACTGTTGCAGTAGCTAAATAATAAGTAATATATGTCTGAGAAATGTGATTGCCTTACTCCAAGTATACAAAACTGAAATACAAAATTGGTTAAGACTATTTAAAATCAAAATGTTTTATTCCTTTCACATGCCTGTCTGACACTGAGATTTACAAGAATATGGTTTACCTCTACTTCCTTCAAAAGAAAGGTATTCTGCAGTATAACTGAACTATTTGTTTCAATCAAGTATTTTGTTCTGTTGGTATTTTGTTCTATTTGCATATTTTTTTCTGTTTTCAGAGAATCATAGGATCACAGAAAGGTTTAGGTTGGAACAGACTTCAAAGATTACTCAGTTTCAACTCCCTCCCCTGTGCAGGGACACCTACTAGACCAGGTTGCTCAAGGTTCCATCCAACCTAGCTTTGAACATTTCCCAGGATGGGGCATCCACAACTTCTTTGGGCAGCCTGTTCCAGTGCCTCATCACCTTCACAGCGAAGAATTCGATTCTTATATATAATCGAAACCTACCCTCTTTCAGTTTCATCCCATCACACCTTGTTCTGTAACTGCATGCCCTCATAAAATTCCCACTCCATCTTCCTTTTAAGTCCTGTTTAGGTACTAGAAGGTGCCATAAGGTATCCCTGGAACCTTCTCTTCTGTTTGCTGAGAAACCCGAAATCCCTCAACCTGTCTTCAAGAGCAGAGATGTTCCAGTCTGGCCAGTATCTTCATGACCCTCCTCTGGACTAGTTCCAACTAGTTCCATGTCCTTATGCGGGGAGTCCCAGAGCTGGATGCGGCACTCCAGGTAGGTTCTCTTGCATGTGACATAGAAGGGTGAAAATCCCCTGTCTTCCCCTGCTAGCCAGAATTCTTTTGCTGCAGCCCAGGATACAAGTGTTTTTCTGGGCTGCCAGCATATGTTGCTGGGTCATGTTGAAACTACTCATCCACCAACACCCACAAATCCTTTTTGGCAGAACTGCTCTTGATCTATCTTCAGCCCAGCCTGAAATGGTACTTGGGATTGCCCAGATCCAGATGCAGGTCCTTATACTTGTTGGATTTCAGGATTACAATGGCCTGTGAACCTCTCAAGCATCCTTTCCCTACAGCATTGACTGTGCCACACACTTTGTGTCACTGGCAGACTTGATGAGCATGCATTGAGTCCCAGTGTCCCTGTTGCTAACAAAGATGTCACAACACCATCCCCTGAGGATCACTGCTCATCACTGGTCTGCAGCTGGACATTGAGCCATTGACTGCAACACTTTGAGTGCCACCACATAGCTAATAATTTATCCACCATGTGGTCCATCCATCAAGTTTTTTCCTCTCTAATTAAGAAACAAGGATGTCAAAGCAGCTGAATCAGTAAAAGCTGTGGTTTTTGAAATAAAAATGAAATCACTGAAAAGGCAATCTCTGTAAAACAATTATGCATAGTTTGGTACAGTCCAATATAATTGGCAGCCTTTGCTTCTGGGGTCATGGTGAATTGAGGATGGAGATTAAATGACCATTCATAATACTGGAGAGGTGGTCCATTCATGCCATGTCTTGAATACTGAATGTTGGCTGAAAAATGTAGAGAAGAACCGGGCACCTGTATCAATTATTTCTGGGTAGTAATTGAACTAATTATGAAGGAAAAATAGAACCAAAATGCACTACAAATCTGAAAGCAGAGTAAAGGTTTTTTTCAGCTATCATAAAAAAAGTTCTCAAATATTTTCTATGATATTTAGATAGACTTCAAATGTCTCTGCCTATATCATCATGTACACTAACTAGTTCTCTGTCAATGTACACCTGTATTACTACTAAGCAAATTCTCTTTCATCAAGTTTTATTCTTTCTTTATGGTTGCTCATTGAAAATGTATAAAGGTTTTCCTTAGTGATACAAGTAATCCACATAAATGTCTATTATACATATTTTTTCAAAAAGCAATATTTTTTTTTCCTTTTTTTCTTTTTCTTTTTCTTTTTCTCTTTTGTCTTTGTCTTTGTCTTTTTCTTTTTCTTTTCCTTTTTTTCTTTTTCTTTTTCTTTTTCTCTTTTGTCTTTGTCTTTGTCTTTTTCTTTTTCTTTTTTTTTTTTCTTTTTTTCTTTTTTTTTTTTTTTCTTTTTCTTTTCTTTTTCTTTTACTTTTTCTTTTTCTTTTATTTTTTCTTTTTCTTTTTCTTTTTCTTTTTTTTTTTCTTTTTCTTTTTCTTTTTCTTTTTCTTTCTTTTTCATCAAAAGCTGAAGAGTTTCTTAATGGTTAATATGCTTAAATGATCTTCATATTTTAGTGTACAAGAGCAACAAATGTTAAAAAACAAGCAAAACTTGATCAAAATTTCTTCCTCTCAGAGCCACTACCACAACTCTCACAATAGCTACTTTCCTATGTTTTCACAAAAAGATTGAGCCCTAAGCTTTATTTTTTACAAGAAAGCACACTTGTAAATCTCTGGATTAGGCCTTAGAAGGAAGTTCATGAAGTCTAATTTTTTTACTGTTTTTCCCTCTCTTGAACTATAACCATCACAGTGTTTAAAAAGCTGCAGAAATTTCAAAGCTGAGTTCAAATAAAATTGATTATATCTGTGCATACATGTGCTTACATGTGTTAAATGTTTAAAGGTGAAGTCCTGTACTCTGTAACATTCATGATACTCTTGCTGAATCAAAAGGGAAGTGTGTGTATACATCTTAGGAAAAATAATAATCTCTTTATTATCCTTACTGTAATATTTATTCAAGATCTATGTCTAGAAGCACAGCTTATGTAGATCAGCAAAACAGTATTCACTCATTATACTAAAATGTAAAGCAGTAAAATTCTGCTTCATTAACGTGTTGGAGTAATGTCATACAGATATCGGTAAATGTCTCTTTCCTGACTTCCATTGAAAGGGTAGTATCCAGAAGGGCAGGAAAGCAGGAGAGCTTCATTTGGGTTAAACAGTGATATATTGGGATCCACTTGGAGCTGTGTAAGAGAAGGCAGCTGTTCATGAGAATGCAACTTCTTGGATATCGAGGATGTGTCTTTGACCCTTAGTGACATTCTCAGACTTGTAGTGCTCCAGTTTATGCTGGGATTGATGAATATTGATACAGAGGTTGTAAAAACATATTATATGTATATATGAGTATATTATATACTCAACCCTGATTGCAGTACTATTTTTTAAATGGGAAAGGAGAGCCATACAACAATTCAGATTTGAGTTTACGTAAACCCAACCAAATAATCTTACCCTTCTCCTATATTGCACTTCTTCTCCTGCTGAATCATATCTAACCCTTGATAAACTTATAGGTTGAAATCTATTAAAAACATAACTATAATGTAAAAGGAGTTTCCCCCTTTATCTTCTCAATTAATTGTTGGCTCTAGATCCTACATTCCTTTTCTAGAATTTATTGATGCCTTGGAGTGGCTGCCTAGAGCAGAGTCTAGTCAAAGTTAGAGAATAAAGTAGGTATTTATTAAAGGCCTTCAATAGATACACCTTGTGCAGTGCAAAAGCCTCCAAGAGGGGCTACACCAAAGATGAACAGTGGTCATGAGTTTTCCAGACAGATTAAAATTTGGTCTATTTGCTTATCAGAGGTCAATTGTCCAGTTACAGCTTCAGGTAATGAAATCATATACCCCCAGTTTCCTCCCCTCAATTCACTATTGTTCATACTTTTCACAGCCTAAGGCAGTGACCGTGACCTTGGTTCTCAGATCTGGAAGGATTGTTTTGTCTGACCCAACAGTGAAGACAGCTTACTAACACACTATATTGAGTTCAGAGTTATACACTAGTGCAGTAGAGGATCGGAAAAATATAAAAGCAAAAATTTAAAACATTATTATAGGATGTTCCAAAATATTACAGTAACAAAAAAATCCACCCTAGATTTTAAAGTGAAATAAGATAGCACATATTGACAAAAATTAGTCTATGTCTGAGTCTGAAATGAATTTTGTGAGTCTTTGGCTCATGTATAGTATATATATGTATGTTAGGACAAGTGATTTAAAAAACAGCTCTGGATCTCTGCAAGTTGGCAAATATAGCTAAATAATGCTAATGAATAATATTACAAGATTTCAATAAAATAACCTAAAAAGATCAATTATCAATATCATTGCAAGTGCATGTTTAGTACAAAGAAAGAAACCAAAGGAAACTAAAATTGTTGCAAAGCTAAAGGAAAGGTTGGCAGATATCAGCTGTCATACAGAAAGGTACATTGAAAAAAATATATATATACACTTTGTATCTTTGTCCAGTCATGCACTCTACACATGTAGTAGGAGGTTTTAATGACTACTGCAAACCACTAAGTAGTAATTAGGAAATCTTCCAAACCTAGTCAGCAAATTAATAGATCTAGGAAACCCATACTGAAATGAGCTTATAGTTGTTTTTTGGGACTAGTTTTTGTGAACATAGCAGGCTTTTTTAAATGCTATAAATCAGTTTAATATATAACAGAATGAGTTTAGGGCTACAACAATAATGTTATAAATCAAAAACATTAGAGTGGGTCATACTGAAACATTTTTTCCATGACTCTTTGTATTTGCAAGCAGAGTCAAAACTACACTTTTTCCCAGTCTGGTATGATTGAAAAAATGATTGTTCGTTAATGTTTTGTTTGTTTTCTAATGGCATTGTTACTAGTCCAAATTAAACTCTTCCTTTTGTGCTGCATAACTAATCATCATACATCATTTCTTATGTAATTTTTTCTGTCATTCAGAATAAATCAGTATAATAAAGGAGATATCAGTAAAGTGCTTTCTTCTCCCGACATCACACTTCTAAACTCCATGCCAATAATTTTCTTTACCCATTATGAAGTGGATTATTAAGAAAAATAAGGATAGCCATTTTATTTTACGTAAATTAAAAAGTAGCACAGAGCTACTTTAAAAATGTAACTATGTACTAAGTTATAGAACAAATAATGTCATGATCGTAATGGAAAAACTTTGGAAGAGCATTCCTTGATAGCATCAGAAAAGACATTGAAAATGGCAGAATATATGATTATACTGGTATTTAGAGTGTGTCATGTCCCATTATTATCAAAACTTTCAGAGGTCCTGGTGTGGTATCTATGACATGATCTTGGGATCAATATGCAAAGTTTTAGCACAACACTTTACACTTAACAAAAATTATCTTTAATGTGTTTTGGAGGGTGCAGCTTCCTGGGAGGTGTTCCTAATTAGGAACAACTAATTCTACTTCACCAGATGTCAGAAGTGTTTCAAAACCACATCATGTAAATGATGGTATGAAAAAGGATGGAATTAATACTACTGGCTAATAAAGCCCATTCAGTTTGTGATTGAATGAGAACTGCACATTAAAAAAAAAAAAAAACCGTAATTTGGTATGTTCCATTTTTTATGAGCTTTTTCAACTCTTCTCTAAGTAGAGTTACAGAAAGGTGAATAAGAATATTCCAGTATAATTTCTGACACTGCAGGCAAACTAGAATCATAAGAAGTCTATTTTCAGGAATAAACAAATCTCCAAGTACACTTTCCAGTGTAAAAAATCCAGATAATTTTTTGGTAAATAAATGTTGTGCATTTCTGAATTTTCTGTCTTTGGTGCTTTGACAAACTTAGGGTTCTTGAAAAACAATAATTTGTGTCAAAGAAATAAACCACAGTCTAATAAAATTTTTCCTTCAGAAACTGACCTTATGTAAACTCTCATCTGTCATTTTTGATGATGCTATTTTTCACAGTTATGAAATATCCCATGTTAGGTCTTTCAACACCAGCTCAAACTCTACTAGCAAGAGTAAACTGGGTCAGTTTTAGGCTCAACTTGGGAGTGGTCATAGTGATATATTTCACTTATTACTATGAAAGTGAACCCAAAATATAACATAATGGAACAGAGGGCTTTAAATACAGATGTGCACTTATGATGAAATGTAAACTACATCTTTCATTAAATATGTTGTGATTCTCAGTTTTTTTTTCAGAAATTGCATTCATGTCATCCAAATGAAACATATCAATGAATCCTGATGCTGTGGTTTAGATTACTGCATCTTGGATGTGGCCAGCCTATTTATGTAGCCGCTATCAAGTGTGCTTCTATCATGCAACAGGTATGTAGGAAATAGCTGCCTTGGATTTCAGACACAGCCTTTCTGTTTCCAAACCAGGCACTAAGACAGGATTGGAGGCATAGGAAAGAGCAATTTGCAAAGACATTTCCATTTCATTTGCAGTTCACAACCCCTGGATGTGAAAACTGGGTATTAATAATGTTAAGGGGCAGAAGACACTTTAATAAACCAAAGTCTCAGAAGTTTCAGTCTCTGGGCAGTACAGTGTCGTATTTTTCCCAAGTCTAAACCTTTTTGAGCTCAGACTTTGAATGCATTATACATGCTTCTGGCAAATTGCCCGAGCATATTGACATCAGGCAGGCTTCAATGAATGAAACATTTTATGAAACCAAGAGACTGACACTGACAGGGAATAGCAGAGTCTGTGTGATCATAAGACACAGATACACCCATCTGCCAGTGAGGTCAAAGTAAAGAAGAGAATACTTT